GGGCGGTGTTGGGCAGCGGTGGCCCTCGGCAGGGTTCTCGCTCGCGCCCTTCTGTGCCTCGCGGAAAGGGGGTGGGGGGGGGGGGCAGGGCCACTGTTGGAAACCTCCGGTCGTCGTCGTCCTCGGTGGCAAATCATGGGAGCCTGGTGTGCCCTCTGAATTCCGTCCTTAGCGTCGACTCGCGTCGATTAGCGTCTGGGGTTGATGAAATAGCGCCGAGTTAGCGTCGGCTAGCGTCGATTAGCGTCGATTCAGCGTCGATATGCGTCGACTGGCGTCGATTAGCGTCGTTTCGCAAGAGCCGAGAGGATTGTATGGGAGGCTCCCGTGAGTTGCCACCGAAGTCTTCCCCACCCTCGACGATGCTTGAGGAGGGGGGGGGGAGGGAGGCAGGGGACAGGGCAGTCTGTCGCACGCACTGCTTCTCCCCTGGTCCCCGGGCTCCGCCCGAAACGTTTGCCCCTTCTAAGGGAGAGGGGCAAACGCTGGGATACGCCCCCGGACGCACCCCGATCGAGGAGGGGCGCCCTCCCCATCGTAGATCCCCGTGTTGGGCCCCAAGTGCCTGGGCCATCGGAAGCCCCACGAGACCTGGGATCGGCGTCGACATTTCCCCCGTCAGCCTCTCGTTTGTGCCCCCCCTGTGGAGCTGCTGGGGGTCCCCTGGGGGCAGGGCGCGCGGCCCTGAGAGAGCTGGCCATCACGGTGGCTCCCGGGAGGGCCTCCAGGTGCCGAGCTGGCAGGCAGCGGTGGCCCTCGGCTGGGGATCTCAAGACCGTGTGGTGACAGACCGCGCGGTGACTTCGGAACCCCAAGAGACCCCACCGCAGGGTCCGTCACCGCACGGTCTTGGGACCCTGGAGGCCCCTGTCGCCCGAGACGTCTTCGGAGAGGGACTCGAGTCCCAAGAATCGTGCGGCGACTGCGAACCCCCACCGACTCACCACACGGTGTGGTCACCGCACCGTCTGGGGGCCTCCGACTGGGCATTGGACGGCCAGCATTGCAACGGCCGCTATGTCCCTGGACCTCTCCAGCCTCAGGTCGGACCTGCAGGTCCCAATCAGAGTGCCAGTCACGGTCCTCCCGTGGGCGCGCTGGCTGCCAGCAGCCAGCGCGAAGGAACGTTATGGATGTTCTTGCGTCCTGGTGTGATTTTTGTGGGTTTGGCCCTGCCTGTCAAAAAAAGGTGCGTTCTGACCAGAAGGTCGAGGCACACCCAGCGCTGGCGACGAGGTGAGGGCTGCGGTATCGGCCTGCCTTCCTCCTGAGGGCCGACGAGGAGGGGAAACCGCGGCTCCAGCCGGCCCCCATTTGGACGCCCGCAGTGGATGGGTGTGGAAGCGTTGCAGGATGCCCAACAGCACATGCTGTCTGACGCCGACAGCGGCCGCTGTTGGGCAGGCGGCCTCTTGCCTCAAACGGACAGCGTCCGCGGAGGCACCGACAGCGAGTCCCTGTTCAGAATGGGCAGGGAATGCCGTCGGTCTTTGTGCCCATTCTGTCGGTACCCATTTCGATCGTCCCGATCGGCAGGGCCCGCGACGCGTCGACGCGGCGTCGACGTTCGCGCGGGCGGTCACGGCGGAACCCCCTTTGGTAGCTCGTCTCCCGCCCACGGGCCCACTAGGAGACGGCCCACGTTGCGAAATCAGCGCCAGAGACGGAGTCCAGAGCCTCGGGGGGCCTCAGAACGGAGATCCCTCAGAGTTGATCCGTTTCGCACTCGGCACGACCAGGACTCCACGCTGTCGTGGCTGGAACCTGGTGTACAGAGGCCCCGCTGGTTCTGGCCTCCCGCGTGCTGGAGAATGAAGGGCGTTGGTGCTGTTCTGAGCCGGGATGTTTTGGCTAAGAGGTCCAGAACACCACGAGATTTAAGTCGGGCATGTCCCCCTACAGGAGGAATGTTCAAACATAGTCAAAAATAGTCTGGGGACGATATTCAGTGACGATTGTTGACTAGTTTTGATTTGTTGTTTGGACGTGTTTATTCGTGTCGTCCAAAACCCGCCTGTAGGAGGACACGCGAGATCGCGTTGCAACTTCGGCGGGGCGCGTTTGCCCTGTAAGTGTCGTTTCTTTTTCTCTGGTGTGCAACGCATGTCCAATGGGGCATTCGGCACGGATTCGGCGCGGAGTCGGCGCGGGCTCGGCGTGGATTCGACACGGGTTCCACACTGACAGTGGCGCGATGGGACAGACGCGGTCCCCCGAATGTGCAATATCAAGGGGGAATGGCGCAGTGCACTGTCGTAGCCTATCTCTGAAGACTACGCCTTCGTTGGGCGACTGCCGCGCCTCTGGATCCGCGGGGCCCGACCTGACCGAGCCCCACTGCCGCGCCAGGCTGGGGCAGTCATCGGCGAAGGGCTGAGCTGTATCCTGGGCGACGTACAGTCGGGGCCCTGAAGAAGGAACCCTTTTCGTTGGGGAGGGGCTGGGTGTTCCTTGAGTGTTTCACAGCTTGCCCAAGGTTTTTCTTATGTTTTCGACCGGAAATCGAAGGTTAACTTATAGAAAAAAGGAGCCTCGTTCCTTATTTAGGGTTCCTTAGGTCAACGCCCCGACTGTAATGTCAGATCACGATTAATCAAATAATTTGGGGGGCTATTGGCAGGATGGTTTACGAATCTTCGGCATCTGCTTTGCGTCGGCTTCTTCGGGCCCGTCGGCCGTCCAGGCGCGCGGGCGAGGGGGGAACGATTACACACTAGCTTCCCGGCCCAGGGCTGGTTGTTCTAATCGTCCTACCGGGCATCGCCGCGTGAACAAGATCCATTGGTAGTTTTTAAACTACCTTCTTGCATGTACCGGGGGAAGCGAAGAGGGGGGTGATGTTTAGGGGAGGATGTCATGGCGTGGGCCATGATAACTACATCCTCAGATGTCATGGCGCCTCTCCTTGTTTCACGACGTCCCTGGCCCCCTCTTGGGCCGCGCACATGCCGCCGGCCCTGACTTGCGCCCCCCCCTCTTGGACGCCCCCATCTTGGCCGCCCCCGATCCCAACACGACACTTCTCTTTCTCAGATGTTGTTCGCCGCTCGTGAGACGAACGGCAAGCGCTCCAACAAGCCACTGTGAATTCCGTCTCCTCGGCGGGCACTCCGCGAGTGGTGTGGTGTACGTCGTGGGCACGCGGAGCTCGCCGCGATTGTCGTTCGTATTGGGGGGAGGGGTATCTACGGCGGGGGCGTTTGTTAAGGATTGTGCTCAGGATGCTGCAGACCCTGGAGGGTTCCTTAACTAACGAGGGCGGCGGTGATACCCCTGGCCAAGCCTCAATTGGTGGTCCGCCAGCTTCCACGCCCTGGATTCCTCATCTGAGGGCTCCTCATCCGATGGTCTCACCGTAGCTAGTGGGGTCGGCAAGCTGCGGGCAAGCCGCAGGGGGGGCTAGGATGCAACCCATTGGAGGTTCAATTCAGTGTCGGCGCGGGTATACCCGCTGTCGAAAATCAGTCTCATCTGGCATAGCCCCGCTCAGCCCCGCTTGATCCCGCCGAATCCGGCCTGATCGGTTTCAATAGTGCGCTCCACGTGGGCTGATCTGGCTCAGTGGCCCTTCCATCGGGCCTGATGGCCCTGACTCGCTCTCGCGAGTACCTCCCAGGAGTTGCCTCCGAACGGGGGGGCGCTGGTTAAGGCCGCAGGGGCACGGGTCGCGGGCGGCGGGCGCAGGTCGCTTGGGCGTGCGCCCGCTCCCCCTTTTTATCCGAGGAAGAACCGCACCTGCCAGCTTGAAGGATATCCCGATCCGTATGTGTGGCATCGGCTTACCTCGATGCCGATCTTCTGGGTGTCCCCAGTTCCGGAGGGCACATCCCTGAGGTCGTCATCGCTTTTTGCTTGCCGATCTTAGGGATAGGGATACGTTTGAGCCTTGTTATGCACCAGAGACTAGTTCCCAGCCCGTGGATTTCCAGCAATTTCCGCGTGCGTTCCTCGCCTGCCCTCCTCCTCCGCTCTCTCTATCACTCCCTTTTTCCCCCTCTTTGGTATATCCTCCAAATACTTCAGAATGCCAGTTCACTTGGTATGCCGCCTCACCTCGCTCGGCACTCGGTTGTCCTAGACTTGGCCTTCAACGATACATGCGTATATAGTGTATACGGATGCATGATCAGTGTCTGTGTGTGTGCCTCTCTTTCTGTCTCTCTCTCTCTCTCTTGTTTGTCTCTCTCGATCTCTCCTCATGTATATATTTCCTCTTCTCTCCATGCCCAACTTCGCACTATGCTCTCTGAAATGCGTTCTGCATATGATATGGTTGATTCCCTCTCACACTGACATCCCCATCCATGGTCGCAAATGCCCATCTTGCAGTGGTCGCAAATACTCCTCTCTATTTCTCTCTTCGTTCCCTCTGGCGAACTCTGCTCGCAACTTTCCGAGACTCAGTCGCTTGGCCTCAACCAAGACATCCAGAACGTTGCCAGGAATCCAGAACCGGAAAATGCCAGAAACCCACGAGTTGCGGGGGACACCGGAATCGTGAACCCGGAGCCCGGGAATCGAGCCACCCACCGAACCCAGGAACGTGGAAACCCAGCCAAGAACCCAGCCGCCCACCGAGAGCCAGGAACCCCATGAGCCAGGAATCCCAGAGCCAGGAAACGGCCTGGAACCCCAGAGCCAAGAATTTTGCATTGCCGGGAACCCCAGAGCCAGGAACCTGGAACCCAGGCACCCAGCCGCCCACCGAAAGCGGCCCAGAATCTGGAACCCAGGAACCCAGAGCCGGGAACCCAGGAAACCCGCGCCTACCGAACTCGGCCCGGGTCTTTCGCCAAATCCTTTTCCAGTGTCCACGACGACTGTTTCAGTGCGGGAAACAAAGTACGTCAGCAGTTCTCGGTGTCCGCACGGATTTCTTGGATCGGCGTTGGCCCCCTTGGCGGCGCCTCCAGCTCCGATCCAAGAAGTTCGCGCGGAGCTCAGAGACAGTGCATTCGCTTGTCGTTGGTCCTGTGTGCATGGCATGTGGTCGCATCCAGGCGGAGCTGGTCGTGGAGCGCCTGAACCTGGCGGCGCGGGACGTCCAAGCGGCTGCGCAGCAGGCCGCCGTCTGCTTCGGGGCAAGAGGAGGAAGTCAGAGGGAGAGAGAGCGAGAGAGGGAGAGAGAGCGAGGGATATAATATACACACATACGGGTATCATTCTGTTAGAGAGAGGGAAGAGGATAACATAGGGGAGACAGAGAGAGAGAGAGAGAGAGAAAGAGAAGAAGAGAGCGAGAGAGAGACAGAGAGATAATTGTATAAAGAAAGAAGGATATCGAGAAAGGTAGAGAGAGAGGGATATAGGTAAAGGAGTGAGGGAGATACGAGAGACACAGAGACAGAGAGACATTGAGACGGATAGAAAGAGAGAGAGAGGCAACACAAAAGGGAGGGAGGAAGTGGGGAGGGCAGGAAGCACCGGCAGGAGAGCGAGCAGCTCAGGCGGAACAGGAGGAGGAGTGGGGGGAATGCAGGCGCAGGTGCAGGAGTAGGAACAGGAACAGCAGCAGGAGCGTGATGAGTATCACCATCACAAACACGAGAAGAACAAGGAAAAGCAGCAGTGCAAGCAGCGGCAGGACGATGCAGAGGCAACGGAGTGGCGACAGCATCAGTGCAAGATGGTAAGGAGGGGGCGGGAGGAGCGAGATGAAGAGCAGGATCCGGAGGTGGGAGAAAGGCGGGGAGGAGGCGGATCAACATCAGAAGCAGGAGGAGCTGCAGGAGGAGGATGAGCAAGCGTTGGGCGGGAACGATGATGGAAGGGAGGAGGATCTGGGAGAGGTGGCGATGATGGCACGACAGTGGTTTCTTCTACGAGCGGGTGTTCACCATACGCCTGCAACAGCCACCTCAAAATGGTGACCAGCGATGCAACCACCAGAGTGTGTCGATCCATTTGGTTGGTGTGGTTGTCCTGGCAGGCAGTTTAGGGAAGAGCGGCAAGACAGACCAACCTCGTCTGAGGCACGAGAAATCACCACCCACCGAACCACTTCAACCCAACCCGAAGGCCCCAATTTGCCCTCCATTTTCAGTGGGAGGGGCGTCGGGGAACAATGAGACAACACACATGGAACCCGTACCCCCCCCCAATCCGAAATGGAATTGTGATTTTTGGTTTAGGTTGGGGTGGTTCGGTAGGTAGTCTTATGATGTTCCAGCCTACTTTAGCTTCGATCACCAGAAATAATTTCGAGCATCAAGGAAGTACCGAAACTGTATGGTTTTCACGTGTCGGGCCCTGGGAGGCGATACTCGTTCGACACTGTTTCGGTACTTCTCTGGGTGCTCGAAATTATTTCGGGTGTGGCTCTTGAGTACGATGGCGTCAACATATAAATAGTCAAGAAAGCCTTCCGGTGGATCTGAGGGTGGCGACTCCGAAACGTGGGGAACGGCCCCATTGGGACTGAAGGGTGCCGTCACTTGTGCGAGCCCACGTGCTTTACAGTGGGGACCCATGCCAACAAACACCCTGCTTGCCTCCAGGGTGCCCTGAGTTTCCTGAGTTTCGAGGGTTTTGCGATGGAAGGCGTGGCGTTCCCACATCAGACATCAGAAACCAATGGACGTCCTGGGATCCCAGGGTTGGCTTTCTTGTGGAAGGTTTCTTGTGGTCGTGCATCCATTGTATTTCTGTGTCAGGGGCGCACCGTCAAAGCTCAAATTTAGTGCGAGTAGGCTTACATCGGGCCGGTCCCTTCACAGGAGGAATCTTCAAACATAGTCAAACAATAATGTAGAGACGTTTTTTTCCTACTGTTTTCGAATATTTCCGAACATCTGTTGCGCATGTTTCATTTTATGTCAAAAAGCCGCTCGTAGGAGGACATGCCCGACTTACGAGCAGGCTCAGGGGAGGAAGAGGGACCCATACCTCTACCCGTTCCTCGTTTTCCCCTTTCTGGGCCTCCTGGGGGGCCCTCGTCGCCACCGCTGGATTCGCTTCGAAGTCCTGGTCAGAACCCACCTCAGGAGAGGCCCGGGAAGCAGCGGTATGGGTACCTTTTGGTTTCCCCGTGGGCTTCCAACTGTACCCTTGCGTCCCTGTTTCGGCGGCGGGGTCGGACGTGGCGGGGTCGGGGCATCCCTGCCGCACCTCCGATGCATCGGCGGCGCGGCTCGATGTGGAGCCCGGTCTCCCCACGCCCATGTCATTAGCGCGGGCGCATAGATCTTCTGCAAGGGATGACGATCCCGTCCTGGTTGGAATCGTACCCTTTCTGATGGGAGCGGGACGAGGAAACATAATCGGACGTAACCTATTCATCCTCAGGGGGGACAGTCCCGGGGGGGTGGGGTGGTAGATCCGAATTCTGTTTTAAAGAATAGCGCCTACGTGGTGCAATACATCGTGCCCATTTTATGTGGAGCAAAATACGCGGCGCAATCTATTCGGCGCAATGGATTTTCAATGTGAGTTGACATTCCATTCCCTTGCAGACATCCCACCCACCCACCTGCAACTTGGTTTGCAAAACTCATGCGGCGACGATTGCGATGAGTGGTTGGCGTTGGCTGGTGCACCTTTGCGGCCGCGCTAGCCAGCGCATGCTCGCGCGCACAGCGGCCAGTTCGTGTGGCGCGACCGACGCGGTCTGGGTGGCGCTGCCCGCTGGGCACTTCCCAGCGGGCAGGGCATTCCAGTGCGAGTCGGTGGCTTGGGCCGCCGTGGTATCATGGCGACGCCGACAACGATACACACGATTATGAGAGTAGCGATGATGGTGGCGACCTTGGCGATGATTACGGCAAGACCAATGACGGCGCCGATGTTGATCACGCCCGCCGATATTGAGTGTTTTCGCGTCGGCGATGAAGGTTTCTGAAGGAGTTCGACATGCTCGCGCGGCCGATGCGCGCGAGTGGCCCGCGTGGCATTTTTCGGCCGGCGCGCGCGCAAAAGCTTTCGAAATATCCCAGCGCGACCCTACCTCGGAGTTGGAGCCCCTAGGAAAGCAGCATAAGCTAAGCTAAGCTAAGCCAAGCTAAGATAGCTAAGCTAAGATGAGATAAGCTAAGCTGAGCTAAGCTAGGCTAGGCTAAGCTAAGCTAAGCTAGGCTAAGCTAGGCTAAACTGCGGTAGGCAAAGCTAAGCTAAGCTAATATGCGATAAGCTAAGCTAAGTTAAGCTAGGCTAAGCCCAGCTAAGCTAAGCTAGGCTAGGCTAAGCTAAACTAAGCTAAGCTAAACTAAGCTAAGCTTAGCTTAACTAAGCTGAGATGAGATAAGCGAAGTTTAGCTAAGATAAGCTGGGCTAAGCTAAGCTAAGGTCAGCTAAGGTAAGGCAAGCTAAGCTAGGCTAGACTAAGCTAAGCTAAGATGAAATAAGCTATGCTAAGCTAAGGTAAGCTAAGCTAAGCTAAGCTCAGGTAAGTTAAGCTAAGATAAGCTAAGCTAAGCTATGGGAACCCAGGGGGCGCAACTGGGGGAACCGCGGGGCGGGGGCTGGGGGAACCGCCCGGGGAGCTTTCCATTGCCCGGCCCCTTTTAAGTTAAGAGAGTAAGAACCCTTCTAGGCAGAGCCTAGGTAGGGAATGAGCTCGACATTCGGAGCGAGATGCCCTTGGCAGACTGCGATGAAAATGTTGGACAACCAATGGTTCTCCTCGGACCCCATCATGAACGCGAGCGCAGGATTTCTGTGAACACTGATGTTGCCTAACCGTGTGCTGTGTATGTATTCGGCACATTTGTTTTTGAAATCCTTACTAAACCTAAGGTTGTTTCAGGATTTCAGCACGCGCGCGCGACGACGCGCGCGCATCGCCCCATCTGTTGAATGGGGTTCTCGCGACAGCACGCGCGAGGGCGCTCGAACGATTTCGACATGCGCACGCGAGAGGCCCGTTTCGTAGCATGCTATGGAAACGTTGAAAGACCTTGTCTTTTTGTGCCATTCCAAGTCGCAAGTGCGCGGGCATCGGCTTTTTTGTTGAACAGCCGCATTGCGACACCATGTGTTTCACATGTTTCTGCGGCTCTCGATATCTGAAACCCTCGCGGCGACTTGGGTGTTTGAAGGATTGCCCAGCGAGCGCGACGACGCGCGCGTGCGCACGCCGCCCCCTTTAGTTGGAAGGGATTCTTGGGAACTTATGATTCGTTATCAACGAATGCGCGCGCGTAGTATTTATTGCAGAGGATGGGGGGGGGGGCTCTGACCTGCCGGGGTGACATGAGTTTATAGTTCGGATGGGCGAAGGGGCAGGGTCACATGTGCTTATGATTTGCCAGTCGAAAGGTGCACCGTTAAGTCAGGGGGGGGGGGGGGGGGGGGATCCCGATTGTTCTGTTAGAGCCGAGACCCCACGTTGCGCAATCAATGTTGTCCAACTTGCGAGACGCAATCTATGTAGCGAACCGATGGGTGCAATGCGTGTTGTGCCTCCTTTGTGGAGTGCATTTTGCGGGGCACACTCGGCGCGCCAGAGCTATGCGGCATGAAACTACGTGGAGCTACTCGCTCAGTTTAGTACACGCGGTGCAGTCCACGCGGTTGTCCGCAGCGGGTTGCCGTCTCCATTGATCGCGCAATCGCCCCTGGGCCCGCCCGCCAATTGTTTTCCAATGCCCGCGCGGCGGCGATTGCCGCGGCTGCCTGGCGGTGGGTGGCGCTTCGTTGCGGCCGCGGGGGCGCTTGCAGGCTCGCGCTTAGGGCGGCCGCTTAGTTTGGCGCGACCGACGCGGCCGCGGCGGCGTTGACCGCTGGGGCCCCGCCGCGCTGTCGCGCGGGCACTTCAGCGCGGGCGCGCCGACTGGGCGGGCGCGGTGCCATGGCGATGTCGACGACGGTGGACGCATTGATGATGGCAGCGGCGCTGGCGACGGCGACGACGACGCGGCGGCGGGGGCGACGGCGGAGCCGGCGCTGACGGCGCCGATGAGACGTGCCCACGCGCCGGCGACGAAGGCTACAAACCGATTTCGACCTGCGCCCGCGGCCGACGGGCACAAGAGGCCCGCGGGGCATCATTTCAGCGCTCTCGCGCAGCCCCCTCGCGCGCGCGCGAGCGCGCTTGAATTATTGCGACGCGCGCGCGCGATTGGCCCGC